TATAACATGTCAAAAGGCAGGCGCTAGTCTATAACATGGCATAAGGCAGGTGCTGGTTTATAACATATCATAAGGCAGGTGCTGGTCTATAACATGTCATTAGGCAGGTGCTGGTCTATAACACATCATAAGGCAGCTGCTGGTCTATAACATATCATAAGGCAGCCGCTAGTCTGTAACATGTCATAAGACAGGCGCTAGTCTATAACATGTCATAAGGCAGGTGCTGGTCTATAACATATCATAAGGCAGGTGCTGGTCCATAACATATCATTAGGCAGGTGCTGGTCCATAACATGTCATTAGGCAGGTGCTGGTCTATAACACATCATAAGGCAGCTGCTGGTCTATAACATATCATAAGGCAGCCGCTAGTCTGTAACATGTCATAAGACAGGCGCTAGTCTATAACATGTCATAAGGCAGGTGCTGGTCTATAACATATCATAAGGCAGGTGCTAGTCTATAACATGTCATAAGGCAGGTGCTAGTATATAACATTTCATAAGGCAGGTGCTGGTCTATAACATGTCATAAGGCAGGTGCTGGTCTATAACATGTCAAAAGGCAGGCGCTAGTCTATAACATGTCATAAGGCAGGTGCTGGTCTATAACATATCATAAGGCAGGTGCTGGTCTATAACATATCATAAGGCAGGTGCTGGTCCATAACATGTCATAAGGCAGGTGCTGGTCTATAACATGGCATAAGGCAGGTGCTGGTCTATAACATATCATAAGGCAGGTGCTGGTCTATAACATGTCATAAGGCAGGTGCTGGTCTATAACATGGCATAAGGCAGGTGCTGGTCTATAACATGTCATAAGGCAGGTGCTGGTCTATAACATATCATAAGGCAGATGCTGGTAGATAACATGTCATGTGACGCAAATTGTGCTGGTTGAAACCATGGCATATAGGGCAGAGGTCATTTGCGCTGGTCTAGGGCTTTAACTTCTTTTACTAACTGGTGTTTGAAAGGCCAGCTGGTCTGAGCATATGGTTGAAGTCACGCCTATGCATAATTTCAGTAAGTGTATGTAACTGATTTTGTCCAGAAGATATTCTAAGGTTCTGTATGTTATTTAATCAGATATTTAAAAATGAGGCGTCTAAGGCGTCGTCTATTAATCAAGACATATACTGCAGACAGCAGAGTATGTTAACCTAGGCTTGACCAAACAACATCTTTTCACAATGCAGGAAATGGTAAACTTTTGATAATGAGCTCCATGCGCCGAAAATACCGCTGTTTGTTTTGATGTGTCTATGTTTAGAAATCGTGACTGTGTCCTCTGCACGGCGGCTGTAGACAAGTATGAAATGCTGTAAGGGACATTCTCGCCGTGTTGAATTCTCGCGATCTCGACCTCTTAATTAAGGCAAAACGTCGGCCATCTCACGATTTCGTTTTTGTACACAGTATATTTTGTGAAAAGTCTGTATTTGGGCCTGTGAAATATGGCAATGTTGAGTTTTCAAATCATATTTAATGCATGTGTCACTATCAAATCATGTTAGTTGGTATCACGTGCCTAACAAATCATGTCACATGTAATTAATGCATGTGTGTGGTAACAGCACTATCAAATCATGTTAGTTGGTATCACGTGCCTAACAAATCATGTCACATGTAATTAATGCATGTGTGTGGTAACAGCACTATCAAATCATGTTAGTTGGTATCACGTGCCTTAACATATCATGTGACATGTAATTAATGCATGTGTGTGGTAACAGCACTATCAAATCATGTTAGTTGGTATCACGTGCCTTAACATATCATGTCACGTGCCTTAACATATCATGTGACATGTAATAATGCATGTGTGTGGTAACAGCACTATCAAATCATTCTAGTTGGTATCACGTGCCTTAACATATCATGTCACATGTAATTAATGCATGTGTGTGGTAACAGCCCTATCAAATCATGTTAGTTGGTATCACGTGCCTTAACATATCATGTCACATGTAATTAATGCATGTGTGTGGTAACAGCCCTATCAAATCATGTGAGTTGGTATCACGTGCCTTAACATATCATGTCACATATAATTAATGCATGTGTGTGGTAACAGCACAATCATATCATGTTTCATGTAATTTCAAAGGTAAACAGGTGAAAAGTTACACGTCTATAAACAAAGAGTTCGCTAATACAACAGCAGCCTTTATTGTTGTGTTTCTGTATACTTTCAAGAGTCCACAAGATGGCGTCAAAGTCAGTACTTTGTATAGCCACAATTGGCAGCAATTACTGCTCGGCATCGTCTCGGCACAGGCGGCATAAGTCGACGAAGTCGCTCTTGCGGAATTCTTCCCCACTCTTCCTGCAATGCGATGACCAGTTGTGGAAATGTCTGAGGCTTTTTTTTGACGTCGATCGAATTCATCCCATAGGTGTTCTATAGGGTATAGATCCAGTGATCGGGAAGGCCATGACAAGACATTGACATTAGAATTGGCAAGGATGCGGACCGTGACGCGTGCTGTATGTGAAGTAGCGTTGTCATGCTGGAACAACTCCCTCTGTCGGTCCATAATCGGAAGCATGTGACGTGCAAGGATTTCGTTGATGTACCGATTTGCTGTCAAATTCCCCTGAACCACCACTTCTAAATCCATTTGTACGCTGGTGTGCTGGTGCGCATGTGTGCTGGTTATTTCACCCTACACCATAACACGTCCTCCACCGAATCTGTATACCTGTCGAATGCAATTAAGGGCAAAGGTAAACACGCTGTCTTCCATCTCGCCGGTGAAGAAGAAATCCTGATTCATGAATGAACCAGACTCGCCTCCAGTTTCTAAGGTTCCAGTTCCGGGCTCTACGACAGCACCGCAAGTGATTGCGCCGGTGGAAGTCTCTCAAAACAGGGGCGACAACTCGCCTTCTTGGTCGAATCCCCCCCCTTCACGCAATCGATTCCTGACAGTTTGGTCGGAAGTTCTTCTCGCAAGACGATGACGCAAGTGAATAACCCGGATGTAGCGGTCCTGAGCTTGGGTGTTAACTCTTGGACGGCCGCTTCTCGGGCGATCTTAGGCGAGATATGGTGCTCTGATGACCGTTGAAATGTCAGGCAACTGCGGACTGCGACCCCCAGCTTCAAGGCGGCCTGTGGGATATTTCGATTGTGAAAATCAAAATCACCTACATTTTTTTAAGAGTGTAACTTGAGTTTTTTGCCATCCCAGAAAAGAACTAAGTTCACCACTTTGTACACTCCTATCCTACTTTACAAACTTAGCAAAAACGTAATTTCTTAATCCTTGGGCATTTGTCAATAAATGCCTTAAACATAAATGTCTACATCTCCATCTTCAAATGTTCACGACAACTTGGTAAAACTGCAAAGCAAATGTCAACTAAAGTTTACAGAGAAATCGATATGTGGAGACGTTAATTGGTAACGGCTGTGTTTACATTTTAACATTTAGGGAGGAAGTAAAAATGGACACCAATTGTGCTTCCCTTCTCCCGGGTCTGTTTCTTTGTGCTCATACCAGCAAACCTCGAAACGTTATCAGGATTATAATAAAGGCCTCGGTTAAACAGGTTTATTGTAGAATCGCGGAAGACAATTTAAACAATTGTCTCCTGACCTTCTGTGTAGCGTTACACCTTTTCATCTGTCAGGTTGTAGATCAGCACCTGACCTTCTTTGACGCGCTATAGTCCAACACCTTTTCATCTGTCAGGTTGTAGATCAGCACCTGACCTTCTTAGATGCGCTATAGTCCAGCACCTTTTCATCTGTCAGGTTGTAGATCAGCACCTGACCTTCTTAGACGAGCTATAGTCCAGCACCTTTTCATCTGTCAGGTTGTAGATCAGCACCTGACCTTCTTAGACGAGCTATAGTCCAGCACCTTTTCATCTGTCAGGTTGATCAGCAGACCTTCTTTGAAGCAGTGCCTGACCTTCAGGTTGTAGATCAGCACCTGACCTTCTTAGACGAGCTATAGTCCAGCACCTTTTCATCTGTCAGGTTGTAGATCAGCACCTGACCTTCTTAGACGCGCTATATCGCTGGGTCTGAAAGTTGATTTGTTATAAGAGTTCATCATTGCATCTATGTATTGTCAGATACTATATTTAGCATATCTGCATGGTCAGAAAAGTTATGTTTCATGTCTGTATAGATCTAAGGATGTATCTATGCATACATATGCCGTTCTAAGAGTATAATTATGAACATCTGTATTCAGATAGGATATGACATATGTGGTATAAGAATTGAATCAATGCAGAACTATAAATGTTTTATCCGAGCTTAATAACAACATGTATGTAGGGCTATAAAGGTTGATTAGTGATATAGGTGATTGAGGTTGCACCTGCATATACCAGATTACCAATGGTTTACATGAGCATAGGAGCTGACCAATACAATTCATACATATACATCACAAGTAGTGCGATACAGTTAACGTTGTACCTGTATATACGAACCGACTAATGTTATACCTGTATATATATATATGATGTGATCAATTTCATACCTGTATATATGTTGTACCTGTAAAAATGAACCGATTACGGGTGCACCTATATATCTTTTTGATCTTATGCATGCATATTTGATCTTATTTATTATATAAAAGATGTACACATACGCCGAATAAAGCTCTGCCGGTTTACAGGAGCCGGTTATTGATTGATACAGGCTGTGAATAAGATCTTCGTAAATTGATTAGTTTTGATTTGTTGAAAACAAACGGTTCAGTTCAAGTTTATTCTGCAAAATATGACTAATGTATGTTTACCCTCCTAATTGTAGATTTCATATATATCAAGCTGTTGTGTATCGTTTGTCTAATAGTCATTCTGTCATCCATATCAAACGTATATTACAGGCTAGTATAAAGTGATATATCTAGACGATTTCTACATCTTGTCAGAAGTGGAAATGCACTATCTCAGCAGACTTCTGTCCTTTCAGTCGGCACGTCGCACTTAATTGCTCACTGTAGCAATGTAGGATAAAAAAAATCATGTCAGTCAACTGTTTGATATGATTGAATCACCTATTCCACAACAATAAGCAGAACGGGTTCGGTGTATACCTCGGAAGCAGCAGCCAATGGCTACGGCCAAGGTTAACTGCGATTGGCTGGGAACAAGGTTATCGGGTAGGGTTACGACTGTGACGCTCAGCCCGGCTTATAAAGTGCGTTCGATCAGCTGTTGATCAGCTGTTGCGAGAAGCCGGCCGGTGTAATTCCGAGGAAGCAAGTGGATATCGTGTAAGCATTAATATGGGGGATCTGGACATTGACAATTACTTGGGATCCGACCCAGCATCCGACATCATTCAAGATATCATTTCAGGGTCTAGACGACACAAGGTAGGCCATGCCCACATATGTTGCCGTTGAATATGTTCAAACACATATTCACCTGGTTAGCAATAAATAATCTGTATTTTGTCATGAACTTTTCACTGACATTATTTCAGATGACTAATGGTTATTTCGATTAACGCCGCATTTGTTGAATTACTAAATCTGATCGTAATATGATTTCTACATGCATATTGAATCATGTTACTGAAATAAGCAGCACGTTTGGAAAAGATTGTCATTCATGTCTCTCGTCTCAGTGTTGAGTGTCTTTTGGCTCAGTGGTCAGTGTCTCTTTGATCAATGTTCAGTGTCTCTTGGTTCAGTGGTCAGGGTCTCTTGGCTCACTGGTCCGTGTCTCTTTGATCAATGTTCAGTGTCTCTTGGCTCAGTGGTCAGTGTTTCTTGGCTCAGTGGTCAGTGTCTCTTGGCTCACTGGTCAGTGTCTCTTTGATCAATGTTCAGTGTCTCTTGGCTCAGTGGTCAGGGTCTCTTGGCTCACTGGTCCGTGTCTCTTTGATCAATGTTCAGTGTCTCTTGGCTGAGTGGTCATTGTCTCGTGGCTCACTGGTCAGTGTCTCTTTGATCAATGTTCAGTGTCTCTTGGCTCAGTGGTCAGTGTCTCTTTGATCAATGTTCAGTGTCTCTTGGCTCAGTGGTCAGTGTCTCTTTGATCAATGTTCAGTGACACTTGGTTATGTAGCCAGTGTCTCTTGGTTCAGTGGTCAGAGTTTCTCTCTCATTGGTTAGTGTCTCTTGGCTCAGTGATCAGTGTATCTTGGCTCACTGGTCAGTGTCTCTTTGATTAGTGCTCAGTGTCTCTTGGCTCAGTGGTCAGTGTCTCTTTGATCAATGTTCAGTGTCTCTTGGCTCAGTGGTCAGTGTATCTTTGATCAACGTTCAGTGACACTTGGTTATGTAGTCTGTGTCTCTTGGTTCAGTGGTCAGAGTCTCTTGGTTCAGTGATCAGAGTCTCTCTCAATGGTCAGTGTCTCTCTCAATGGTTAGTATCTCTTGGCTCAGTGCTCGGGGTCCCTGGGATCAATGTTTAGTATGTATCGTGACTCAGTGGTCTCTGGGAGAAGCTTGTCTGACGGCACAAATACGATACATTTCTTCACTGATGCGGTGAAACAAAGAGGGAATGTTTGTAACGATATTTCCTGCTTGATGTGCTTAAACATAGTTTGTCAAAGTAAACAAATGAATGACAAGTGCACTTGACAATATTCCGCGGGCGATTGCTTGTAGAGTCAATTTTCACGGTTCGTTGCCTGTATAGTTAGACATTTATAATGTGTTCTGGAAGATTAAACGAGAAGATTGCGCTCTATGAGCTCAGAGATCATTTTTGCATGTGCATATGGCCATCTAAAATATAACCCAATGTGCATTGTTTTGAATGTATTCAAACAGTTATAGACAATTCCAGGACACAACATGACAGAAGTAGCCGGTCCAGCCAATCACCATGCTTTCCATAGTAATGGGATTCCCGTGTGATCCGTGGCAGATGGTCTGGACCCAGAAAGGAACGTCCTCTACAGCCCTCATGATATATCTAAACATCAGTTTTAAAGTTCAACTTGTTGAAGCCACATATTTCAACAAAAAGATATTAAAGGATTAAATATCACAAAAGGCTATGTTCGATACTTAGAATCAGGTGGCAGTACTTGACAACTGTAGTCATGTGGCACAGTGTCTCTCTCAGTCTACATTGCCAGAAACCATCTTGTAACAGACATAGAGCAAAGCGCGAAGTTCCAGCAGTCGCCTTCACACAGCCGCCCATCTTGATGCAGCGAGTGACAACGGCTTCTCGTGGTGGTATATCACGTATTTAATTTCAGGTTTTATGTCAGACGCTGGAAGCTGGTCTGTTTGAGGAAATCGAGACATTCAGAGGCCCTGTCTCCAGCGCAGATCTCGCCAGAAAGTGTCACTATAACCATGACGTCACGGAGAGACTCCTCAACACATTAGTGTGTCTGAAGCTGTTGGAGAAGACTACATCTACCGACGGTACGCTTTTGATGTGAACAGTCACGTATCTGTTGTAACATTCCCAGTGTTGATCTCATATGATGTAACGATGAATCTGTTCAGCACAAACTGATGCAACACTTGTGTATTCATGTGATTTACTCGGTGTAAGACTCATTTCTTCAACCTGAACCTAATGTATAACTGATTTCATCAACCTCAACCTAATGTATAACCGATTTCATCAACCTCAACCTAATGTATAACTGATTTCATCAACCTCAACCTAATGTATGACTGATTTCTTGACCATAACCTGATTTATACCTGATGTATACCTGAGTTACTTAACCATAACCTAATGTATACCTGAATTCCTTAACCATAACCTAATGTCTGGCTGATTTTCTTAACCACAGACTAATGTATGATTGATTTCGGTAATCATGCACAACCTAATGTATGGCTGATTTCTTTGAATATAACATAATGTATGACCGATGTTTTTGATTTATCAACCTCAACCTATGAACTGATTTCATCAAACCATAACCTAATGTATGATTGATTTCGGTAATCTCAACCTAATGTATGACTGATTTCGGTAATCTCAACCTAATGTATGACTGATTTTTCATAATGGTAATTTCATCAACCTCAACTAATGTATGATTGATTTCAGTAATCACAACCTAATGTATAACTGATTTTCAAGTTATCACAACCTAATGTATGACTGATTTCGGTAATCACAACCTAATATATGACTGATTTCATTCAACCTCCCTATGTATGATGTATTACCAACCTAATGTATGACTGATTTCATCAACCTCAACCTAATGTATGATTGATTTCATCAATCTCAACCTAATGTATGACTGATTTCGGTAACCTCAACCTAATGTATAACTGATTTCATCAACCTCAACCTAATGTATAACTGATTTCGGTAACCTCAACCTAATGTATGACTGATTTCAGTAATCACAACCTAATGTATGACTGATTTCATCAACCACAACCTAATGTATGACTGATTTCATCAATCACAACCTAATGTATGACTGATTTCAGTAATCACAACCTAATGTATGACTGATTTCAGTAATCACAACCTAATGTATGACTGATTTCAGTAATCACAACCTAATGTATGACTGATTTCAGTAATCACAACCTAATGTATGACTGATTTCAGTAATCACAACCTAATGTATGACTGATTTCAGTAATCACAACCTAATGTATGACTGATTTCGGTAATCACAACCTAATGTATGACTGATTTCAGTCAACCTAATGTACCTAATGTATGACTGATTTCAATAATCAACCTAATGTATGACTGATTTCAGTAATCACAACCTAATGTATGACTGATTTTCAGTAATCACAACCTAATGTATGACTGATTTCGGTAATCACAACCTAATGTATGACTGATTTCGGTAATCACAACCTAATGTATGACTGATTTCGGTAATCACAACCTAATGTATGACTGATTTCGGTAACCATAACCTAATGTCACAACCTAATGTATGATTGATTTCGGTAATAACCTAATGTTTGACCAGTAATCACAACCTAATGTATGACTGATTTCGGTAATCACAACCTAATGTATGACTGATTTCGGTAATCACAACCTAATGTATGACTGATTTCAGTAATCACAACCTAATGTATGACTGATTTCAGTAATCACAACCTAATGTATGACTGATTTCGGTAATCACAACCTAATGTATGACTGATTTCGGTAATCACAACCTAATGTATGACTGATTTCGGTAATCACAACCTAATGTATGACTGATTTCAGTAATCACAATCCTAATGTATGACTGATTTTTCGGTAATCACAACCTAATGTATGACTGATTTCAGTAATCACAACCTAATGTATGACTTGATTTCGGTAATCACAACCTAATGTATGACTGATTTCAGTAATCACAACCTAATGTATGACTGATTTCGGTAATCACAACCTAATGTATGACTGATTTCGGTAATCACAACCTAATGTATGACTGATTTCGGTAATCACAACCTAATGTATGACTGATTTCGGTAATCACAACCTAATGTATGACTGATTTCAGTAATCACAACCTAATGTATGATTGATTTCAGTAATCACAACCTAATGTATGATTGATTTCAGTAATCACAACCTAATGTATGATTGATTTCGGTAATCACAACCTAATGTATGATTGATTTCAGTAATCACAACCTAATGTATGACTGATTTCGGTAATCACAACCTAATGTATGACTGATTTCAGTAATCACAACCTAATGTATGACTGATTTCGGTAATCACAACCTAATGTATGACTGATTTTGGTAATCACAACCTAGTGTATTTGTGATTTCGGTAATCACAACCTAATGTATGACTGATTTCGGTAATCACAACCTAATGTATGACTGATTTTGGAAATCACAACCAAATGTATGACTGATTTTAGTAATCGCAACCTAATGTATGACTGATTTCGGTAATCAGAACCTAATGTGTGACTGATTTCTACAACCACAACCTAATGTATGATTGTTTTTGGTAATCACAACCTAATGTTTGATTGATTTCGGTAATCAGAACCTAATGTATGACTGATTTCAGTAATCAGAACCTAATGTTTGATTGATTTCGGTAATCAGAACCTAATGTATGACTGATTTCAGTAATCAGAACCTAATGTATGACTGATTTCGGTAATCACAACCTAATGTATGATTGATTTCGGTAATCACAACCTAATGTATGACTGATTTCGGTAATCACAACCTAATGTATGACTGATTTCGGTAATCACAACCTAATGTATGACTGATTTCGGTAATCACAACCTAATGTATGACTGATTTCGATAATAACAACCTTATGTATGACTGATTTCAGTAATCACAGTCTAATGTATGATTGATTTCAGTAATCACAACCTAATGTATGATTGATTTCGGTAATCACAAGTCTAATGTATGATTGATTTCGGTAATCACAACCTAATGTATGATTGATTTCGGTAATCACAACCTAATATATGACTGATTTCGGTAATCACAACCTAATGTATGACTGATTTCAGTAATCAGAACCTAATGTATGATTGATTTCGGTAATCAGAACCTAATGTATGACTGATTTCAGTAATCACAACCTAATATATGACTGATTTCGGTAATCACAACCTAATGTATGACTGATTTCGGTAATCACAACCTAATGTATGATTGATTTCAGTAATCAGAACCTAATGTATGACTGATTTCGGTAATCACAACCTAATGTATGACTGGTTTCAGTAATCAGAACCTAATGTATGACTGATTTCGGTAATCACAACCTAATGTATGACTGGTTTCAGTAATCAGAACCTAATGTATGACTGATTTCGGTAATCACAACCTAATGTATGACTGATTTCAGTAATCACAACCTAATGTATGACTGATTTCGGTAATCACAACCTAATGTATGACTGATATCAGTAATTACAACCTCATGTATGACTGATTTCGGTAACCACAACCTAATGTATGACTGATTTCGGTAATCACAACCTAATGTATGACTGTTTTTGGTAATCACAACCTATTGTTTGATTGATTTCGGTAATCACAACCTAATGTATGACTGATTTCTGTAATCACAACCTAATGTATGATTGATTTCGGTAATCACAACCTAATGTATGACTGGTTTCAGTAATCACAACCTAATCTATGATTGATTTCGGTAATCACAACCTAATGTATGACTGATTCGGTAATCAGAACCTAATGTGACTGATTTTAGTAATCGCAACCTAATGTATGACTGATTTCGGTAATCGGAACCTAATGTGTGACTGATTTCTTTAACCACAACCTAATGTATGATTGTTTTTGATTTCGTTTGATTGATTTCGGTAATCACAACCTAATGAATGACTGATTTCTGTAATCACAACCTAACGTATGATTGATTTCGGTAATCACAACCTAATGTATGACTGATTTCGGTAATCAGAACCTAATGTATGACTGATTTCAGTAATCACAACCTAATGTATGATTGATTTCGGTAATCACAACCTAATGTATGACTAATTTCGGTAATCACAACCTAATGTATGATTGATTTGGTAATCAGAACCAAATGTTTGATTGATTTGAGTAATCACATCCTAATGTATGATTGATTTCGGTAATCACAACCTAATGTATGACTAATTTCAGTAATCACATCCTAATGTATGACTGATTTCAGTAATCACAACCTAATGTATGACTGATTTCGGTAATCACAACCTAATGTATGACTAATTTCGGTAATCACAACCTAATGTATGACTTATTTCGGTAATCACAACCAAATGTATGACTGATTTCGTTAATCACAACCTAATGTATGTCTGATTTCAGTAATCACAACCTGATGTATGATTGATTTCAGTAATCACAACCTGATGTATGACTGATTTCGTTAATCACAACCTAATGTATGACTGATTTCGGTAATCAGAACCTAATGTATGACTGATTTCAGTAATCACAACCTAATGTATGATTGATTTCGGTAATCACAACCTAATGTATGACTAATTTCGGTAATCACAACCTAATGTATGATTGATTTGGTAATCAGAACCAAATGTTTGATTGATTTCAGTAATCACATCCTAATGTATGATTGATTTCGGTAATCACAACCTAATGTATGACTAATTTCAGTAATCACATCCTAATGTATGACTGATTTCAGTAATCACATCCTAATGTATGACTGATTTCAGTAATCACAACCTAATGTATGACTGATTTCAGTAATCACAACCTAATGTATGACTAATTTCGGTTAATCACAACCTAATGTATGACTTATTTCGGTAATCACAACCTAATGTATGACTGATTTCGTTAATCACAACCTAATGTATGTCTGATTTCAGTAATCACAACCTGATGTATGATTGATTTCAGTAATCACAACCTGATGTATGACTGATTTCGTTAATCACAACCTAATGTATGACTGATTTCTGTAATCAGAACCTAATGTATGTCTGATTTCAGTAATCACAACCTGATGTATGATTGATTTCAGTATTCACATCCTAATGTATGATTGATTTCGGTAATCACAACCTGATGTATGACTGATTTCTTTAACACAACCTAATGTTTGCCTGATTTCGGTACAACCTAATGTAAGACTGATTTCTGTGACCATAACCTAATATATGAATTATTTCTTTCACATAACCTGATTTATACCTGATGTATACCTGAGTTACCTAACGTTTGACTGATTCCCTGAACTACAATGTAATGTATGGCTGGTGTCTTTAACCACAACCTAATGTCTGACTGATTTCTTTGACCTTAACCTAATGTCTGACTGATTTCTTTGACCTTAACCTAATGTCTGACTGATTTCTTTGACCGTAACCTAATTTCTGACTGATTTCTTTGACCTTAACCTAATTTCTGACTGATTTCTTTGACCTTAACCTAATTTCTGACTGATTTCTTTGACCTTAACCTAATGTCTGACTGATTTCTTTTACAAAACCTGATTTTTAACTATATTTTATGAACATGGCCTTCTGTATAACTCATTTCAATAAACATAGTCTAACGCATAACCTCAACCTGTTGTATTACTTTAACCGTAACCAGAAGCAGCAACTATTCTGTTTATAAGCCAAGCATCGTTTGTGTAGGTGTTGTTGGGTACAAGAACTCCACGGCGACAACCAGATACCTGCTTCGCTCCAAGCGGCCAAGCATGATCGCCTGTTGCATGAGCGAAGCCGCTATGGTCCTCCCGGCACTAGATAATCTGGCTGCTGTCCTCAAAAGAGGTACATTATTTTGTAATCAGAGTAAAAGGTGTTTCCTCCTTTTGTGTAATACATAGATGCAACTAAACACTTGTAAACGTGACGTAATGGAACACTGTGTTGTCAATCATTCGGAAGCATGAGAGTTAAATATACAAAAACAGTGTGAGAGTTAAAACATACAAAAACAGTGTGAGAGTTAAAACATACAAAAACAGTGTGAGAGTTAAAACATACAAAAACAGTGTGAGAGTTAAAACATACAAAAACAGTGTGAGAGTTAAAACATACAAAAACAGTGTGAGAGTTAAAACATACAAAAACAGTGTGAGAGTTAAAACATACAAAAACAGTGTGAGAGTTAAAACATACAAAAACAGAGGTTTCTGGCTACAGCATGATTGTATATTAAATCAGGGACCTCCGAGATGTTCATGTCGGCGATGGAGGGCATGGCGGCCTCTTGATGCCATTGGGAACAGAATAATAAACTGAGCAAGGGCGGATCAATGCCAAAGTGCTCCGTTAGTTACCAGTAACCCACTGAGCACCATGCTCAGTTCAACATCGACAAACAGATGATGTTCATCCTAGCGGCGATGGAGGGCATGGCTCTGTTCTACTCCTGCCACATGCTCCGTGCTAATCACTAGGAACCTATGTTCTACCTGAGTGGAAATAAGACTGCTAAGCAGACCTATGGCGGTAGGATCATTAACAAAGTGCTCCGTTCTAATCACTTGCAACCTATGTTCTATTCAGCAGCAATGTGCTCTGCTCTAGTTCTAATCTCATCACTAGTAACCTATGTTTAACTAGCAACCATGTTCTAATCACTAACAATGTGCTCTGTTCTAATCACTAGCAATCTATGTTCTACTCAGTAGCAACGTGCTCTGTTCTAGTCACTAGCAACATCCTATATTACAATCAGTAGCAAAAGCTCTGTTCTACTCAGTATCAACGTGCTCCGTTCTAATCACTAGCAACCTATGTTCTACTCAGTAACAATGTGCTCTGTTCTAATCACTAGCAACCTATGTTCTACTCAGTAACAATGTGCTCTGTTCTAATCACTAGCAACCTATGTTCTACTCAGCAACAATGTGCTCTGTTCTAATCACTAGCATTTTATGTTCTCATCACTAACAACGTACTCTGTTCTAATAACTAGCAACCTATGTTCTAATCACTAACAATGTGCTCTGTTCTAATCACTAGCAATCTATGTTCTACTCAGTAACAACGTGCTCTGTTCTAGTCACTAGCAACATCCTATATTATAATCAGTAGCAAAAGCTCTGTTCTACTCAGTATCAACGTGCTCTGTTCTAATCACTAGCAACTATGTTCTACTCAGTAACAATGTGCTCTGTTCTAATCACTAGCAACCTATGTTCTACTCAGTAACAATGTGCTCTGTTCTAATCACTGGCAACCTATGTTCTACTCTACTCAGCACCTATGTTCTACTCAGTTACAACGTGCTCTGTTCTAATCCCTAGCAACCTCCTATATTATAATCAGTAACAGCGTGCTCTGTTTTAATCATTAACAACCTCTTATGTTCTAAGCAGTAACAAGGTGCTCAAATCAAACATGACTATCAACAGGGAATCTTTTTTGCAGCCAATCACAAGAATAATTTGAATGTGTTACAGGAGCGTCAGGATTAAAAATGTCCAGTGGAAGTGGATGCCGAGCTTTCCATCCATGTCTAAGTTATTTAAGGATCCAGTTTCTGTCCTGGAATATACTCTCTCTCTGAAATAGAAACACTCCAGTTATTCGCCATTTAGTATATTTCCTTGGCAAATTCTTGTGCCACCTATCTTCTTTCGGGGTGTCATCCCTCCGTTTTCCACTTAAAGCCACTGCCCATTCATTGACGGTGCTTAAGGAGGGCTTTTCCTAGCGTTATTCTCCACGTTATCTTCCTCCACTATTTTCCTCCGTTTCCTCCGTTTCATAAGAGGTCACATGTCCGGGCGTTTTCTGATTTGTCAAGCCAGGCAATTTCCATCGATATGCATCACCCAGTTTTGGATATACCGCTGTAACGGTAAAATATCGTGTACGCCCTTCTTTCTATGTGAGGCTAAGGACTTCGATCAGTACAATCAATCATTCGTATGTGTCAGATGAACTGAGCAGACATATCAAAACGACATTTCTTTCCTGGTGGGTTCTTCAAATTTCAGTCTTCCTCCTGCAGATCTGTACATCCATATCTCACATAATTCATGGCTGGGACATTGAAAGACGGACATCCTTCTTTCAAAGTGTTCCGCAGTGAGCATACTACCAGTATTGAAGGTCTTTGCCTACATACGTGGTGTTGTGGGTGCCCAAAGAAATCGCCTCTTTTACTGATGTAGGTGTGCCGGTATAGTATCCCTGATTGAGGTATCACCAGAGTGCCCCCTACATATACCTTGCCCTGCATACTGTCTTGTATGCTGTGCCCTGTATACTGTGTCTGCCTTTGCCCCTGTAAAACTGCCTGTGTGCCCCTGTAAATGTGCCCTGTATACTGCCCCTGTATACCGCCCTGTATACTGCGCCCTGTGCTGCCACTGCATACCACCCCGTTCTTCTCCCCGTATGCTGTCCCTGTAAACTGTGCCATGTATCTGCACCTGTCACTGCACCTGTGCTGCCCTGTGTGCCTGCCTGTATGCCCTTGTGTCTGTGTATACTGCCCCTGTGTCTGCCCCTGTGCACCTGTCCTGTATGTCCTGTGTCTGTATGCTGTCCCTGTACTGCTGTGTATATGTTGCCCCCTGTATACTGTGTTGCTGTGTGTCCCTGTACTGCCCTGTGTACTGCTCCTGTTGTTGCTGCCCCTGTATCCTGTATGCTGTGTGCCTGTGTGTGCTGTGTCTGTGTGTCTGTGTCTATAGATTGCCTGTGTGTCCCTGTATGCTGCCCTGTATTGTTCTGTGTATACTTATACTGCCCCTTCTGCCCCTATGCTGCCTGTGTATGCCTGTCCCTGTGTATGCTGCCTGTATACTGCCCTGTGTTTGTGCCCCTGCTGCCCTGTATACTGCCCTGTATACTGCCTGTACTGTGTGCCCTCTGTGCATGCCTGTGTGCTGTCTCTGTATGGGGTTCCTGCATACTGCCCTGCTGTGTGCCTGTGCTGCCCTGTGTGCCCTGTGACACTCACCCCATATCACTGTGTATACTGTGTTGTCCAGATACTTGCTGCTGCCCTGATACTGTCTCTCACTGCCCTGAGTATATGTCTCCCTGTATTGCCCCTGTTGTTAAGCGTCCTGTATATCACTGCCCCTGTGTACTGCCTCAGATGCTGCCCTGTTGTTGTCTATACTACCCTGTATTGTCCCTAAACTGCCCTGTATATGTATATTGCCCCCTGTTGTTGCTGCCCCTAGATATATACTGCCCTTCTGCATACTGCCCCTGTATATTGCCCCTGTATGCTGCCCTGTATTCCTGTGCATACTACCTGTGCGCCCTGTGTCTCCCTCTGAATACTTACTGCCTGGGACTGCCCCTGTGTGTCCTGTATTGTATGCACTGCCCCTGTATAATGCCCCTGTATACTGCTGTACCTGTGTGTTGTATACCCTGTGCTTCACCTGTATACTATACTGCCCCTGTATACTGCCCCTGTATACTGCCCCTGTATACTGCCCCTGTATACTGCCCCTGTATACTGCCCCTGTATACTGCCCCTGTATACTGCCCCTGTATACTGCCCTGTATACTGCCCCTGTATACTGCCCTGTATACTGCCCTGTATACTGCCCCTGTATACTGCCCTACTGCCCCTGCCCCTGAGATACTGTATACTGCCTAGTATGCTGCCCTGTATACTGCCCTGTAATGCACTGCCCCTGCTGCCTGTATACTGCCCCTGTATACTGCCTGTATGCTGCCCCCTGTATACTGCCCCTGCCCCTGCACACCCAGATGTCTGCCCCTGCCCCTCCTGTATACTGCCCCTGCTGCCTCGTATACTGCCCTGTATGTCTGCTGTATACTGCCCCCTGTATACTGCCCCTGTATACTGCCACCGTTGTTGCTGCCTCTGTATACTGCCCCTGTATACTGCCACCGTTGTTGCTGCCTCTGTATACTGACCCTGTATACTGTTCCTGTTGTTGCTGCCCCGGTATACTGACCCTGTATATTGCCCCTGTTGTTGCTACCCCTGTATACTGACCCTGTTGTTAGTGCCCTTGTATACTGCCCCTGTATACTGCCCCTGTACACTGTCCCTGTTGTTGCTGCCCTTGTATACTGCCCCTGTATACTGCCTGTTGTTGCTGCCCCTGTATACTGCCCCTGTATACTGCCCCTTTCTATTTGCACCTGTATACTGCCTTTAATGTATGTGTCACACTTCTATAGTGCCATTTGTCTCTATATACTAACTTTGTTCTGGGTGGAGAAATTATAGCTTTTATATCCACAAAATGATGAGATAAATTCTTTAGCGTAATGTGCCTTTTACAGGGGGAAGCTTACTTCTGCTGGAGAAGATTCTCAACGAAGATAAAGATGGACCATGGCCATGTATCAGCATGGATCTTGTCATGGCAATGATCTCAAAGGGAAGGGAGAGAACTCCGTCAGAATACAGCACGTTGCTCAAGAAGCACGGGTTTTCAAACACCCAGATCAAATCAATAGAAGGGTGCAATTACTATGATGCTATTCTTGCAAAGAAACCGTTTTAGGTATGCAGTGTAGCGTGTGACTTCCATACACAGACCAGTGAGCCGGTGATGCACATGAGGACGGAGGGTGGAGAAGGTGTTCGTAATGTTCATTTGTCATTTACTTATTCACTTTCACAACGCAATATCAATGTCACGAAACTTCAGCCACTGTATTTATTGTCTTGCAACATTTAGTTAGTGCATATGTTTCCACGTCGTGGCGTATTGGAGCTGTGTTTTCGCCTACCGTCCACAGAGGCACACAGCATATCCCCGTGATCCCGGACACCTCACGTAATTTATAGAAACTTGATAGGAGCATGAGACCACCATGGCAACGATGGAGCGAAGTTATTGTATATACGTGATACACGTGAATTAGTTACTCCGTCTGTTTCAAGAACAACTTTTTGTTAGGCGACAAGAGCCAATATAGTATGTTTCCGCATGTTTTGTATTTGTTATGAGATCTGTACATTATTTACAACTCTTCATATCATCATGTATTTTACACTTTTATATCACATTTTGTAACATGTTGTAAGAAAATACAGTATAATGTACGTCAAATAACGTTGTAGTATTTATAAAACCAGCGGATGCCCAGAATATTTTGTCCAGCAAAGTCCCACGTGGAACGATTCCACCAATCACAAAAAGTCAAGGAACCAGGAACATTGGAAACCTTCAAACAAATGAACTTGGCAAGTTGATGCCGATAGATAAATACTAAAAATTTACGACTGTTAGAAGATTAATATTCCCTCAGATAAAACATACGATTGGTGATATACTACACACATTTTGCTATAGATCACAACTTTAAAATGTAATACCTAAAATTGCGTGCATCCGTGGAAAATAGCAACCAACAATATTGTATTAGCCTTGTCACTACACTTCCTGGACTCTTTCTGTAAAATATACATTCAAACCATAGCAGGTTCTATTCGAAAATAAGAGTGACAGAACAAAAAACTAACATAACCATCAGTGATGCAAACAACCAGGAGAGACGACTGGGATTGTAGTTGACTTGATCGATAATGGATCACTCCTCGTGACTGGTAAAACATTACACTTTGCTGGCATGATATATTGGTTGTTTGGGCTTGACATAGAGCCTAATTTCTGATTAATCAACCGGAGAGACGAAATGGCAACCAATGCAAGATTGCGTTTCCTTGTGCGAGTAATGAGTCGCACTGCACTGTTCTGCACTCTCTGTTGGCGGCATGCGAGAGAGAGTGGTAGTCCACACAGCAGAGAGTTACCATAGTCCAGTAACTTGATGTGACACGCGAGTGGACCGCGGAGAGCGGAAGGTCGCAGGTTCGATCCCCGGTCGCGTCAAAAGACGTTAAAATATGGTACTGGTTGGTCCCTGCCTGGCGCTCGGCATTAATGGGTACATCAAGGACTGGTCGGCTCGGAGTCAGTATAATGTGTCTGAGTGGGGTATTCATGCTTCATTGCGGCATAGTATCTCAGTGGGCTAGCACTATAAAACCAGCTTAAGTCTGGGCTAGTACAAGTAGCCGCACATACACATATACACGCATGCACGTCGTCATATGAGCGAAATATTCTCCAGCGCGACGTTAAACCCAATTTCACCTCACCTCACGTGAGTGAACCGAGGTTCTGCAGGTGTCCTCTGTGAGATATTGCCTGATGGTGCCACGGTTCCTGATCTGGTAGTAGCAGGATTTAAATACAGCATGAACCTGCGTCTCCATCTTCAGGCAACTGTCAAATTACACCCTGAGTCAACAGCATGGATTGTGTTGCTGCCAAATTGTACCGCAAGCTCTTGGGTTCTATTAATCCGATTCTTGGATTCTGTTTTATCCTGATTCAAGTTCAGCATGTTGACACTTGTCCAGTCGTTGAGATCTGTTAGACAGCCCTCCAATCGGATAGTGGCATTCTCACAGTTATTGCAAGGGGTATAACATAACAGACTAAGGCACAGTACACAGGTTGACTATCTCCTCCTGTGTTATCGCTTTAGAGTAAGCCATTAAACAATTCCCAAACCTGTTCACAGATACTGCACTAACGAAGGAGCAGGCAGCTTACGTGTTACCATGGATAAAGAAGACCAACATTAATAATGACTCAGAGAGTATTGACGATATTTCACTGTTGCATCAACATCAATAACAACAAGCGTGCATGGAGGAACTGTTCCAAGTGTGTTGAGGCGTTAGATTTTTGGTCTCCAACCCGACCTGTCTCTGACTGTCAGTTTCTGAAGCTGATCTGTCTTCTGACTACAGATCATTTACCGACACCTGTGACTCCATATACCTTCAACAAACCTCACGACTCTTCATGTAATGTTCAATATTATACTAGCGCTTCTTACACATGGCATTGTTCAAATCTGACGGTTGCAACTTGTGTGTGTGCCTTAACACAAACTACCTCTGCTGCCGGTAGAAAGGTACGTATTTACACACACTAGTTGTGGTGACATTCGAAAGGTATGTATTTACACACAGTAGTTGTGATGACGGTAGAAAGGTATGTATTTAAACACAGTACTTGTGATGACGGTAGAAAGGTACGTATTTACACACACTAGTTGTGATGACGGTAGAAAGGTATGTATTTACAAACACTAGTTGTGATGACGTTAGGAAGGTACGTATTTACACACACTAGTTGTGATGACGGTAGAAAGGTACGTAGTTACACACACAAGTTGTGATGACGTTAGGAAGGTACGTATTTACACACACTAGTTGTGATGACGGTAGAAAGGTATGTATTTACACACACTAGTTGTGATGACGGTAGAAAGGTACGTAGTTACACACACTAGTTGTGGTGACGTTAGGAAGGTACGTAGTTACACACACTAGTTGTGGTGACGTTAGAAAGGTATGTATTTACACACACAAGTTGTGATGACGGTAGGAAGGTACGTATTTACACACACGAGTTGTGATGACGGTAGAAAGGTACGTAATTTAGTACACATGTATTTACTTGTGATGACGGATGACGGTAGAAAGGTATGTAGTTACACACACTAGTTGTGATGACGGTAGGAAGGTACGCATTTACACACACAACTTGTGATGACGGTAGGAAGGTACGTATTTACACACACTAGTTGTGATGACGGTAGAAAGGTACGTATTTACACACACTAGTTGTGATGACGGTAGAAAGGTATGTATTTACACACAATAGTTGTGATGACGTTAGGAAGGTAGGTATTTACACACACTAGTTGTGATGATGGTAGAAAGGTACGTAATTACACACACTAGTTGTGATGACGGTAGGAAATTACGTAATAAAACACAAGTTGTGATGACGGTAGGAAGGTACGTATTTACACACACTTGTTGTGATGACGGTAGAAAGGTACGTATTTACACACACTAGTTGTGATGACGGTAGAAAGGTACGTATTTACACACTAGCTGTGATGACGGTAGAAAGGTACGTATTTACACACACTAGTTGTGATGTCGGTAGAAAGGAACGTATTTACACACACTAGTTGTGATGTCGGTAGAAAGGTAAGTAGTTACACACACTAGTTGTCATGTCGGTAGAAAGGTACGTATTTACACACACTAGTTGTAATGACGGTAGAAAGGTACGTTTTTACACACACTAGTTGTAATGATAGTAGAAAGGTATGTATTTACACACACTAGTTGTGATGACGGTAGAAAGGAATGTATTTACACACACTAGTTGTGATGTTGGAAGAAAGGTACGTATTTACACACACTAGTTGTGATGTCGGTAGAAAGGTACGTATTTACACACACTAGTTGTGATGACGGTAGAAAGGCACGTATTTACACACACTAGTTGTGATGATGGTAGAAAGGTATGTATTTACACACACTAGTTGTGATCACGGTAGAAAGGTACGTATTTACACACACTAGTTGTGATGATGGTAGAAAGGTATGTATTTACACACACTAGTTGTGGTGACGTTAGGAAGGTATGTAGTTACACACACTAGTTGTGGTGACGGTACAAAAGTATGTATTTACACACACTAGTTGTGATGACGTTAGGAAGGAATGTAGTTACACACACTAGTTGTGGTGACGGTACAAAAGTATGTATTTACACACACTAGTTGTGATGACGTTAGGAAGGTATGTATTTACACACACTAGTTGTAATGAGGGTAGAAAGGTATGTATTTACACACACTAGTTGTGATGACGTTAGGAAGGTATGTAGTTACACACACTAGTTGTGGTGACGGTACAAAAGTATGTATTTACACACACTAGTTGTGATGACGTTAGGAAGGTATGTATTTACACACACTAGTTGTCATGACGGTAGAAAGGTACGTATTTACACACACTAGTTGTAATGACGGTAGAAAGGTATGTATTTACACACACTAGTTGTGGTGACGTTAGGAAGGTATGTAGTTACACACACTAGTTGTGGTGACGGTACAAAAGTATGTATTTACACACACTAGTTGTGATGACGTTAGGAAGGTACGTATTTACACACACTAGTTGTCATGACGGTAGAAAGGAATGTATTTACACACACTAGTTGTGATCACGGTAGGAAGGTACGTATTTACACACACAAGTTGTGATGACGGTAGAAAGGTATGTATTTACATACTAGTTGTGATGACGTTAGGAAGGTATGTATTTACACACACTAGTTGTGATGACGGTAGAAAGGTACGTAATTACACACACTAGTTGTGATGACGGTAGGAAATTACGTAATAACACACAAGTTGTGATGACGGTAGGAAGGTATGTATTTACACACACTAGTTGTGATGACGGTAGAAAGGTACGTATTAACACACACTAGTTGTGATGACGGTAGAAAGGTACGTATTTACACACACTAGTTGTGATGACGGTAGAAAGGTACGTATTTACACACACTAGTTGTGATGTCGGTAGAAAGGTACGTATTTACACACACTAGTTGTGATGACGGTAGAAAGGTACGTATTAACACACACTAGTTGTGATGACGGTAGAAAGGTACGTATTTACACACACTAGTTGTGATGTCGGTAGAAAGGTATGTATTTACACACACTAGTTGTGATGTCGGTAGAAAGGTATGTATTTAAACACACACCAGTTGTGATGTCGGTAGAAAACGTATGTAGTTGTGATGACGGTAGAAAGGTACGTATTTACACACACTAGTTGTGATGTCGGTAGAAAGGTACGTATTTACACACACTAGTTGTGATGACGGTAGAAAGGTACGTATTTACACACACTAGTTGTGATGACGGTAGAAAGGTACGTATTTACACACACTAGTTGTGGTGACGTTAGAAAGGCACGTATTTACACACACTAGTTGTGATGTCGGTAGAAAGGTACGTATTTACACACACTAGTTGTGATGTCGGTATAAAGGTACGTATTTACACACACTAGTTGTGATGACGGTAGAAAGGTACGTATTTACACACACTAGTTGTGATGACGGTAGAAAGGTACGTATTTACACACACTAGTTGTGATGTCGTTAGGAAGGTACGTATTTACACACACTAGTTGTGATGTCGGAAGGAAGGTACGTA